TACTGGAGAAGTTTTTGGATGTGCATAGGGATTTGAGTCTTAGAAGGTCCCATTCATCTATGTTATCTTCTCCTGGTTGTAGCTTCAATCTATATTTAAGGCTGCAGTACTTGACCTTCTGCAGCAAGAACTTCAGGTCTTCCTCAGTTTCAGCAAGCAAGGTCATATCATCTGCATAATGTGGGTTGTTGATGAGTCTTCCTCTAATCTTAATGTCATATTCCTCCTCATAAAGCCCAGCCTCCCAAATGGAAACTCCTCCCTCTGTCAATCCAGTCCTTCAGAGGTATTCTCTTGGGGTCATAGACAGTCGACGTCCTCTAACTTTAACCTTCACTTGATTTTTCTTTTTCTTACAGATTATCACTCTCTTTCTTATGACTTCATAGTGATGACTCGGACCAGAACTGCAGAGCCCTGGTGTGTAGTCCAGGGTTCGATAGATGGAATGCCTTTCCTTCACTATGACAGTGACAGCAAGAAGGCTAAACCCTTAGGTTCTGTGGTTGAAAATGTAAATACCACAAAAGCATGGGAAGAACAGATCAAAGCACTTAACGACTTGTGTCAAGAGCTCAGAATTCTTTTACCTAATATTAAATTGGAGAACTTCACAATCACAGGTAAGTGTTGAGGATACCAGGGCCTGGAGACAATTAGCAAGAAAGGAGATGGTTATAAAGAAGACATGGGTGGGAAAATTCTTTGAATATTATTTGTATTAAGGAACTGAACATTAGTCCAACCCTAGAAGGCTATGGAAACTAGATGGTCCAAAAAGAAAAAGATCTAAATGTCATAGTTTGGGTCCCAAAATGAAGAGGAGAAAACAGAATTGATGGGCAGTGAGGTTTGTGAGAGTAGAAGGTAACTTCTTTGTGGATTGGGAGCAGATCCTCCCACATTACAGGTCAACCTAGTTTGTCAAGGAGAAGCAAGACAGTATACTGGAGCATCCTGGCAGTTCACCATCAGTGGGCAGCCTTTCCTCCTGATTGACACAGTGAACAGTAACTGGACAGCCATCCATCCTGGAGCCTCACGCATCAAGGAAGTGTGGCAGAAGGACAGAGAATTTGTAGACTATTTCAAGAAGATCTCACTGGGAGATTGCAATTACTGGCTTCATGAATTCTTGGTGTACTGGGAGAATATACTGAAATTGACAGGTAAATGAAGAGGAAGAGAAATAATATGCCAGCTCCCTTAAAGTGTGTTTGTATACGTGTATGTGAGAGAAAGAGTGATAAGCTAATTCACTGATTCATATTCTTTAAGAATTTTTCTTCTCACCAGTCAATGTCTGCCAAGGAGATTTTTTTATCCATTCTCTTTTTGCTACCTCCTTTCTAACATCTCTTCCTCACTGCCCTGCTCTCCTCCAGTAGTAAATGTGCCACCCACATGAAGCATGTTCTAGACTTCAAATCACCGTACATCATTGTTGACAGATCTTTTGTTCATGCTAATATCTCCCTTTGTCTGGAGTTTTCTTTCCTATTTGGCCAAACTCTAGATAATAGTCCAAATTCCTTTCAATTTCTATGTCTTCTGAAACTTTCTCTACACTCCCTGGATAGGATTAGCCACAAGCATGATCTCCAGAAGTATAACTGCAGAAAATGGTCAAGTTCATGTTGTTTTAGGATTGTTTATATTTTTTTCTGCCTCTGTCAGAATACTTGTTTGGTTTTTGTTTGTTTGGTAAGTATATTCAGAAGCCATAGCAATATAGTTCATAACATATTGTACTGCTAACCAAAAAGTCAGCAGTTTGAATCTACCAGCTGCTCTGTGAGAGAAAGATAACTAGTCTCCTCCAAAGATTTTCCACTTCAGAAACCCAGTGGTGGTTGAATATGAATTGGAACTGACTTGATGGCAGTGACTTTAGTTTTTACCTTTGGTGGCAAAATGATATATTTTGGTTATCAACACTGTACTGCTAACCAAAAGTTTGATAGCTGCTCTGCAGAAGAAAGATGAGGCAGTCTGCTCCTGTACAGACCTAGCCTTAGAAACCCTATGGGTAGTTCTGCTCTGCCTTTAAGGTCACTGTGAGTCAGAATCAATAGCAGTAGATTCTAGTTTAGATCAGAATATGTAAAGCTTCCTAAGTGGCATGAAGGGGCCCTGGTAGCATAGCTATTAAAATACTTCTAGCTGAAGTATGGTGGTTCAGTTGGCCAGCTTGCTCTGTGGGAGAGAAATGTGATAGCTTCCGTAATGATTACCTTCCTTCCATCTCATTGCTTTTTTTTTTTCTTCATCTCATTGCTTTTGAGTTGGAACTGACTCATAGCTGACCCTCTCTTGGATTTCTCTGGCCATAATTCATGCTAGAGTGGATTGCCCATCTTTCTCCCATGGCTCCGCAGGTGGCCTACCTAATTTTTCTCCCACCATACAGTAGAAACTTAGACAAGTAAGAATTTGAGTATTTGTATAATTACCCTGAAAAAGTTCTAGTGCATTATTTGTTGGGCTGTAAACAGAAAAATTCAGTGGTTTTGTCCCAACAGCCATTCCTCCCCTAAAGATTTATAGCTTCCAAAATCTGACTGGGGAGCACCATGAGTCAGAATCAACTCAACAACAATAGGTTGGGAGTTTGAGTTTAATTCCTCTTCAGTAACAACAGCTGGAGAAAAAGTTATCTTCTCAGGTTCAGTGGCTGGACAAAACTTGAATTCTTTGATTCCATTTCAGCATCATCACTCGCAACCCCAACTACTTCTCAGCCCTCCATTTTCAACAACTTCATGTTCAATGTCTTCTCAGTCATCCTCATCACAGGTGTGGTCACGGCAGGCATGGTCATTACGGGCTGGATCAAGAAGAAATCAGGTACTGTGTGCAAAGCAGAGTGGGAGACGGGAAGGGTGGGCCTCTGGATTAGGAGGAATCTTGGCCTGTGTCTTAGTCAGGGTTCTCTAAAGTAACAGAACTAGAAAGAAATGTGTTCATATAAAGAGACCGATTTACGTCAAGGGATTGGCATCAGCAACTACTGTTGTTATTAGGTACTTTTGATTATTGTTGGTTTTAGGTGCTGTCAAGATGAGTATGACTCATTGGCCCTATGAACAACATGTCTGAACCCTGTTCTATTCTGTGCCATCCTCACAATATCTGACACTGCAATTACTGTGTCAATCCACCTGGTTAAGGGTCTTCCTCTCTTTCAGCATCCCTCTACTTTCCCAAGCATGAAGTCCTTCTCCAAGGAATAGCCTCTCCTAGTAACATGCCATACATATGATATAAAAGTTTATCATCTTTTCCTCCAAGGAGCACTCTGGTGCACCTTCTCCAAGACATACCTGTTTGTTCTTTTGGCCGTCCATGGAATATTCAGTAGTACCCTTCTCCAGCCCCACAATTCAAAGGCATCAATTCTTTCTCTGTCATCCTTATTAATTTTCATGATCTCTGCAGCATAGCAAGTGATTGAAAGATTATGGCTTGACTCAGGTACACTTTAGTCCTCAAAATAACACCATTGCTTCATAGTAATATGGAGAGTCCCCTGACTTCAGACTTTCCCAGTACAATATATCTTCTGACTGCTGGTACCAAGTGCATTTTGACTGTAGATCCAAGTAAGATGAAGTCATTAACAATTTCTCTCCTGTATCATAATGTTGCCTATAAATCAAGTGGTGAGAATTTTTGTTTTCTTGACATTGAAAAGCAATCCAATGATAGATTACAAACCAGCAATACATTAGTCAGTCCAAAAGTAGGCCTGACTACCGTTTGGACACTTCTGTTGCTGTGTGCCTCAAGATCTGTAATGCAGGCAACAGAAAGAATAATGAATGGAGTGAGAGAGCTAACTTTACCAAAAGAAATACATCTTTATAGTCTATAGGCATGACCATACTCTAAGGAAACACCTTTGCAAATGATAGGTCACACTATATTTTATTCCATTATGGAGAATGATTATATAATGTTAGAGTATATATGTAGATAGATATATCATTCTAGAGATAGAGATATAGCACTGACAACACAAAGGCACTTGGTTTGGATCCACCAGCTTCTCCACAAGAGAAAGGTGGGTAATGTTTCACCATGAACTTTACCACCTCTGAAATCCTGCTGGAGGCCAGTTATGTGTTGGTACCAACTAGGTGGTACACAACAACAACATTGTAGGGTTAAGTTAAAACACTAGGACTCATAGCCCAGCCAGGCTGACATATCAAATTAACCTCATAGCCTGAAATGAGGAAAGGGAGAAGTCAGACTGCTAAGTCTTCCCTTTACCAAATCTTGTCACTGTAGAAACATGAAGAGGTAAATCAAATGCACTATCTGGCTAGCTGGGTAGGTGGAAATAGGAAAGCTTATCTCTGAATCACGTCAAGCTTTCTGCCCCTGGCTAGTAGGAGAGGGGCACAACTGTGTCAAGCTTGGGACTTGTTTTTACTTTAGGGCCAGGCCCTGCATTAAACCTCAATCTTTCCAAATTAATGAGTTCAGAGGATTTAGCAAATCAGACCTGATTCCAGCCATAGTCATTCTCTAGGAGGTGCTACATGGTGACTAGTGGGGGGACAGAAGAAATATAGGGGTTGGCAAGACACAGTTTTGAGTTGAGGGACAGTTTGGCAATTAGATCATATCCCATACTCAAAGTTGTATGAGTCACAGAAGTACCTAAAAAAATCTTCATATGACCAAAGGATTCAGATTAGATTTTCCTTCACTTATTCCTTGTGGAATATCCATGCTATTAAAAGAATTCAAATCCACCAGATGCTCTGCCGGGGAAGGAGGGGCAATCTCCTCCTGTACCAGTCAGATCTGATTTGACAGTACACGCACACAAAAATAATAAAATAAAATAAAAATTAAAAAAAATAATTCAATTACTTATCAAATTAGAATGGATCTGAGCTTGTAATTTCAGTGTATCATCTGTGAGATAATCATGATTCATATGTTTCTTAATCTTATCTCAATTCCATTCTGTATCATTCCACTTTACTGAAGTAGTGGAAAACTACTTAGTATACCAATCACATTTTAATTTATTTGTCTTTGGAAAGGCCATAACTTTTCAGAATATTGATGCCATGTTTGCACATAAACTAAAGTTTAAATACTTGGATACAAAGCCACACCCACTATAGCAGCTGTGGCAATAATGACAATAATTCCCAAAATTGCTGTAAAGATAATTCCAATGACTTTTCCCCCCCTTTTTTAATAATTGGGTTACCAAATGTTTTAAAATCATACTTTCAGGGGATGATTGCCATTCTCTCCTTAATTTTACTGGCAACCATAATCCAATTTTGGATCTTAATATGTAAATTCTTTCATTAGGTGACAAAATAATAGAAGAATTTAATCAAATATATTAGAACAAGTTAGACAATATAATGTTAACTTTGTAAAATCCCATTGAGTTGAACTTTCAAAAATACATAAGGTAATGAAGCACGGACTTGAATATAATTGGTTTCATCTCTTTTAAATTTAGGGCTAGTAACACTGTTAATATGATCATGTGAATAATTTCCAGTCAAACAGGTTTGTCCTGGAGAGGGTGAAACCAGAATGTTACCTGGAGTCAAGGATTCTGAAGCTTCCTCTGACATAGTTTGGGGACTGGTCATTGGAGAGGAACATCATG